TTTTTTAGGCCTGACACTAATACACAGTCATCATAATTACAATTGACATAGATGATTTCATGTTATTTCTTATTACTTAAAATGTTTTTAATAAATACTATTTTTTTACATTATTATTTTATATTACAAAATTTCACATTTTATAATATGTGAATATAAGTAAGCAACACACGTCACTAGAAATTAAATTGAGATATGTAAAAATTTTGAATACTCAAAAATTCAATAAATTAGAAATATCTAAATTTACAAAAAATCTAAAATTTAACTAAATCTTTTATTATTAGTTCTATATATTAATTTTCTTACTATTATTATAGATAAAATATAACGTCATATCTAGTTGTTATTTTGATGATAGATCTTATTTTAAGATTTAAAGCAAATTTTGTTAATTTTATAATTGAAATTTTATTTGATCTTTAATGGTACAAAAATATAAAAATTATTTTTCTTTAGATTCTGAGACGCTGTTTTCGCTTATTTTATTATCCCAAAGCATCATACAATAATTCAACTGCAAAATCAAGCTATTCATTCACTACTTCAATCAAAATTCAATGTATCGACTTCACTTGCACCGTTGGATGAAGGAAAAGCAGCTAAAGAAATTGTTGAGGGATCTATATTAATTAGAAATATAACTAAATTATAATATACAGCAAACTACAATTTTCTCCCCTCCTTTTTTCGATTTACACTTTATGCAATTGAATCAAGAATTGAATTATTTTAAGCAATTGAAATTTTAGATTCAATCCATAGATTCAAGTCAACGCATGTTTGGATTATGTTTCAGCGACATGCATCCAATTTTTTCTTGTGCTGGAAGAAAGGTAGTTGACAGTGAGGGAACATGAGGGAAAGCAGTATTTGGAGAGGGTCTTCGAACAAATGGTGGTGCATCTAGACATTGGCAAAGATTGTCGAAACAGTAGTGATTGAACTGAAAAATTTAAATAATTGGTAGAATCAATTAAACGGAAGATACTATATTGATTACTTTTAAATAATTGTAATAAAAAGGAACTAAATCTAAAAAGATTAACAAATAAAAGAAAAAAAAATACTAAACCATTAATAAAATATTGAGACTGATTTTGAAATTTTATTTGATGAATTTCCATTTGAGGTTCAGTTGGTTTGGATTTTATCTATAATAAACCACAACTGAATATCCACTTTTTGTTTTCACGATTTTTTGGACTTACTTATGCTCAACTGATAAAAACTACTCACCACTGAAGGTCTTTGCCGCTTCTGTTATGTTGAGAACATTTGCACGAGTCAAACAATCTGCATTGTAGAAGTCACTGTTGTCGTTCGAGATTGAAGATAAGTGTTTCCTCTTCAGCGCCAACGTCAGTTCCGCAGTAAACCTACGTTGGGTTTCTCTTAATCTGAAGGAGACGGTGACGAAAAATCTCCCAATTTAAACACACCTCAACGTGACATGATTACACCATTACACGAGATGACAAAATATGGTTGTTAATAAAATGCTCAAACAAGGAAAGTTTCGCTCAAATTGACAAGATTGGAGCCTTGCATTGCATCAAAACATGAGTGCCCGCCACGCACTATCCCCTCCTAGCTTCAATAGTGTATTCAAGTTTTTCCTGTAAAATAAAATCCGGTCAAAATAAATTTATTCAAAAATTGAAAAGTAGTATTTATATAAATAATTATCTATAATTTTTAGAACCTTTTAACTATGAAATTAATATTAAAATGTAATTTTCATTAATAAGGACTTGTATAAACAAATCCTATCAGAGAAGAGTGTATCCAATCTAAAATTGTCAGGTAAGCGCCACATGCATCCAGAAGAGCTTATCATTACAGTTTCTTGACATCGCTATCAAGTTAGTCAAATTGGACTAGTCATTCATTCTATGGTCCAATGTGCCACATCTAGATCCTGAAATCCCTCTTCGTTCATTTTAATAGATGAGTCAGACGAACCTAACACAATCAATGCACAGATTCCAAATTCCATATTCATTCCAAACTTAAAAAATTGAAACAACTTATCAATGTTCTCTATTTCCCCCCACTTTTTCTGTTTCCATTAAATTACAATTGTATACCATGTAACCACCGCTCCCCCCCAAAAATGACAACCGGGACAAACATCACTCACCAATCCCACATCTCAAGACAAATAAAAGATACAACACCCATTTTAATTTCTTCCGGCCAACACAACAGATCATGCAGGGGCAAATTCTCCTGAAAAATTGGAGAATGATAATAGATAAAAAAAATAAAATATAACAGATAGATAATACACAACCAACTAGCCTAGCTAACAGACAGGACCTAAACAAAATGGCCCTCCCTATCACAGGCATTTACCAATCGTCTATGATACATTCACCATGTTCAACTCAAGCGGTCTCAAAGCTTCTTGAACTATTTCCTGAACTGATCTGTTACGTCGGCAAACATCTGAGAGCTCTTCAACAGGAACGGTAAGCCCATTAGTATCACCTCCGGATGCTGCATCAGAAAGAGCTTTTAGGAATCTTGATCGCTCCACATCTGTAACAGCTGTCGACGGAATTAATAAAACACTCTTTTTAGCCCATTCCAGCGCTTGCATCCCATATGATCGAGTTAATGCCAGTAGCGTATAAGATACCTGAGGAAGGAGCAGGTGTACAAAAGTTAAAAACGATATTGAAACTACATCGCGTCAAAAGTGAACATATGCAAATAGAGCCGGTCAACGTTGCATGAAAAAAAGAAAAATTACCACGTCCACTCGAGATTTTGGAAGTGCTCCCGTTAATGAAGCAACCAAAATTCTGGTGATGCTGGCACCTCGAGGAATAATTACACTGTCTCTTATTGGTATAAATTGCTCCCCCACAGAAGAATTCGCAAGATCAAAAATATCAGCCAAGAAATGCAATATGGAATTGGAAGCCTCCCTACAGAGAGAAACAGCAAAAAAGGGTAAAAACAATCACACTAAATAAAAGTGAGCCATTGAGCAGAGTGAAAATTAGTTACAACAGGATTTTTTGCCTCTCAAAATTAAATAATATACAAAAGGATCATGAATACACACAACACACTTTTCCAAGAATGGATGATGCTTTCAATTTTTTTTAGTGAGAGAGAAAGACTATACCTATGCTGTACTGTGATGCCAATCATAGAGCAATCAACCAAAGAAGGAAAAACAGATGAGGGAATAAACAGTTGAGGACAATAGCGAATACACCTTGATGCCAACAAGAAACAATCATCGGCAATATCAGGACGGGCTGTGAATTCCTGCAGCAAAAAATACAAATCAGACATTAAAAAACTATCAAGAGATTTGAAAGGAAGTGCGACAGAAAAGTCACTTAAATCACCTGAATATTTGTGAGAAGACGTGTTGTATGTTGAAAAAGCGCCTCAATCAAACTTTTCAGGTAGTCAGCACAAGACGGATCAGAACCAAATATCTGAAATGCAAGACACCAACCACCAAAGTTATGGCAAACAAGTTCATTGACCACACCATGAAGAGGAACGATTTTGTACAACCTATAGTTGATGATGGGATAATTAGGTTATATCTACCAATATTTTCACAAAATAAGTCAATTTATCAGGAAAAATCCAGGGGAGTAATTAGTTCAGGAAGCAAGGACCACAAATAAGAAAGCATATACACGTAGAAGGGCACATGGAAATAGGTAAAGTTCGTTTTTCTTCATCCTATATAAGTAGAAAAAGAAACAGGGGGAATAAGGAAAAGTCATCGGAAAAGCATTTCCAATCACCCATATGTTCACACGTAACATAGCACAGCTGTTTGGACTCTGTTATTTTGTCTACATACCATGTTCTTCCTTCACACTTCGGTCTATATTTTTCTTAATTGGTCTGGTTTTGCCCCAGGTTCTTTGCTTTGTCTTTACACATCTACTTCAATTTGTTTTTATTTGAGTATCAATGTCAATAGAATAAAGTATTATCATCTATGACCATACCAACATTCACTATCCTGCTATGGTATTTTCCGGCTTCGCCACACCACACCCTGGTCAGGGACTGATAACCATGCAGTCGTGTTTACCCAGGATAAAAAGGATCTTTCTGTAAAGTCGAGATGTATTTCTAATACCAACATCCACTATCCTTCTTTGGTATTATTTTCCAGCTTGGCCACACCACACCCAGGTCAACGACTGATAACCATACACTCATCTTCACCCAGGAATCTTCGTTTGTAGTCAAAATATATTTCTAACAGCATTTTTTGTATGCAGACTCGTTCATATAACAACAAAATTACTAACACGCACATCAATTGAGCTAAAACCATATTACTTTTGGCAATATTTGGTTATTAGGAGCGGCCAGTGCCATGGAAACATACGAGTACCTTTATAACTTCACTTGAGAGATAAAGAAAGCATGGTTGGTGGTGCTGCCTGTATAGACTCTGAATCTCTTCCAGCATAGCACCAATTGTGAGCCCCATGAATCTTCCAGAAGTTCTGACCTAGAAACAACGGATAGAATAATGCCACATGACATTCAATAATACAAACATGGCTAATTACATGTCAGCAGAAACACATTATAAACATAGTGTGATGCAATCCGATGAAAACTAAGGATGAAAACATGACAGAGTGCAAATGGACTCTACCAACTGATGCCATTAAAATAATTTTCTTCACATTGACAAAGTGCAAATGGAGCTGAGTTAATTATTTAGCTTACTGCATATTTACATGCTCGGCAGAGAGATTCCATTGTTCTCATGTCCCAAGCACGACTGGGCATAAATGTCATCATAAAGATGTCTTAGACAAGAAATCTTCAAAATATAAAAGAAAGAAAATGAAGCAAAGAAAAAGAAGGGATGATAGTCGCATAAGAAATTAGGGACAACTTACAGATCAAAGATAGCCTTAAACATAGGCCATAGCCGTTGAATAGCATCTGCCACAACTTGAGGATGATTTACATATCTAAAAGCAGATTCAGTCGCGTGTTGAGTATTGCAATAAATTGAGATTAAAAAAAGGGTGGTGCTTGGGGCACTAAGACAACATCTATTAATTAGGGAACACACCTAAAGATGTAAGCAAATCTATCAATGTGAACTGTTAACTGACGAGAAGGTCTTTTACTCAAGCTTTCTGGACCTAGAGAAATAGCTTCCTGGTGCAGCAAAATATGAAATACAAAGCAAAGTAATCAAAAGATAATTTTATAACTGAAAAATCCCTGCAAATTGAACACTAACCTGTAAAGGAGTTATGACTGGTATGCATAACGCCTCAAGAGCTCTCTTAGCATCATCTGCAGGAAGTTCAGTAACTACCATACTGCAAGGAAATCGAAGATGTCCAAATCAATAGCTATCATTAAAAAGGTTGAAACAAATCAAACAATCCAAGATGTTAAAGTTTAAAGTAACCAAACGACCTTAATGCTTCAACCAGATGCAACGAGTCTTCAGCAGGAACTTTGAAACTATCTTCTCCATTAACTGTCTTATTGTAGATGTGGAACAAACCCTCTAAGCATCCACAAAGCTTTTTGCGGCAATCTGATATCAGAAAAAATTAATAAAGATTATTCACATCAAATAATAAAAACTTTGTAAATCACCAACTCGCCACCTCCAGCAAGAGAAGAGCTCTTTGAGCTTGGAGGCGTTTTTATTTAAAAAAGTGAGAACAGATATGATTGAATTATTGACAACACAATCATAGACTGTTATTATATCAAGAACCCGATTAAGCTGTTGGGTTGAGAATTATTAAAGGCTTTATATCTAAACAAAATCACAAATCCAAGGAAAGAATAATTATTCAATCCATAAAATACTGTTTCAATTAATAGGTCAAAGAAAAAATAATAGAATTAATTAAAACAAAATATCCCGTTCTCCACTTCAAATATTTTCCATTTTATTCATCTTCCGAAAAATTCTAAGAATTATAGCTGTTACTAGGTAACAAAAAAGTAAAATTAGGTTCCTGCAACACTTTATTGAAAAAAATAAATGCTTGCTTAACCAAGCTCATATCATAAAAACAAGAGTGTTTTCATCACCGTGTATGAAAATGACCAAAACAATGCTCTCCATGTAACACTTCATAATCAACCACAAAGTTCAGAAGCTTATTTGTTATATCATTGAAGGTAGACTGCCTAATCTTTTCCATGTCTGCACTGAACATTACTGTAACTCACCAAGCTAACTCTTCACCATTCCAAAAGATAAAAAGAAAGAACACAAATATACTCCAAGAGTAGTTGACTATACCATCACAAATGTGTCTAAATGCCAAAGCAGCAGCAGCTGCACAATCTTCAGATGTACCCATGCCATTCATTAGGATATCTAAAACCGATGGCAGTACAGACAGTCCACAAGACGCCGAATCAAGCCATTTTGAATAAGCTCCAATAGTTAAACACACTGGAAATAAAGCAACAAGACATGAAACGCATTTTACTAGTCAGGAAAAACATTGAAATAGAAAATTAGAAGGAGCGGGAACTAAAAAGTTCAGCAGGAAGAGAAATAAATAATACTTTTTGAAAAAAGGCAGTATAGACTTTACCTGTCTGAAGTAGTTGGGGTTGATGAGGAAGTTTCGGAAGCAAGGCCATGATCTGTATGAAGGCAAAAACAATTACTTAAGGACTTGAAAAAGAATGAAGTAGACAGTAATATTGTACTAGCCAATGAAATATGGGAAGCGAGGAAAATTTGAAACACTAGAGGTAGGGGAAACAGGTTTTGAGGGGAATAGTACGCATAGAAAAAATGTACTTCATAGAAGATCAAGTCTTTAGAGATGAACAATTTAACACCTGAAGAATATCTTACAAAAATAAACGAAATCAAATGTGAGTTGGTCTAGATAAAGGAGGTGGGTGCAACCCAGCATAAGAAAGTGATAATCCAAGAGGAAAGTCAATAATGACCCAGGTTATTTACAATATATAAATCGCGAACACTCAGGTTCTTTGCACTAAGATATCCACAAAAGGATTTAAGTACAGATAGAAAATCATCTGCGTAGACAAAAGGCTATAAAATTAAGGAAGTATTTTATAATGGATTAAAAGAAATTATTTGTAATATTTAGCAGGATAAAAACTATATAATACTTATTATTACAAATTTAAGAGTAGAGGCATACCTGAGGCATTACTTCTGCTTCAACAACTGACACATAATTTGATATAGCCCGAATACAAAATAAAGCAGCCTCAGCTGGTCGCCATTCCTTGTGTTCATTACTACCATGACCAGATACAGCCTAAACAGGGTGATAAGGCAGTTCAGAAAAAGTGAAAAGGTTTGGGAAATAACATTCATTTATTATTTAAACAAAAAGCACACATAAGCAGAAAAACATGGCCAACAGCAACAGCGTACTTACTGATAATGAAGTTAATAAGAGACCCAAAAAAGTTTTGAACGAAACTTATGGTAAAATTAGATTATACACAGGTTATTTACCACCACTACAAGAACATTATTTTGACAATAATGAAAGCACATTTAAATTAATCGCTCGCACCTCAAGCAGTTTCAAGTAAAGAATTTTAAGTGTTGCATCGCCACCAAGTACTGATGATGCATCTGTCAATACATCTGCAACAGCTGAAACAAAAAATTCCAGTCAGAAATATCATCTAATTCTGGTTGAAATACATGCATTAAGAAAGAATTAACCATCCGTAAACCATAATTAAATTACATTTAAATCATAAAAGTTGTACAGCATAGTATTTCAGGGCCATGGTCCCACAAAAACAAAATCATCACTAACTAAAATATTCAAAAAGACAGAAAAACATTAGATTTTAAAAGTAAATTGTTGTAATAATAGCATGTAGCCAACAGAAAAAGTGAGCATCCATTACTTCCATACAAAGGAAGAATTTTCAATAAGTCTTCAACACTAAACCTATTCCCTATTTTCGCTCAATGCAAACCCATGAAATTGTTTGAAATCACATTTCATGTTTCGAACTATACTGTAGTCATTTAACTTGTTTCACTATCAGCGTAGTTGTTCCTGATTTCCTGCATACGAGGAAATCCGGAACACAGGCAATCATTTTGACACTTCAACAAATCTGTCACCAAATATAACAAATTGTGAGAAAATGAAAAAAATTTCTAAACGTATTTGTATCTTTACAACTCACCAGTTGGAATTATTTGTTTATATTAAAACAGTAATGAGTTTTTAACATTTAAACCATTTTGAAATATAGTTCATGGTTACTGTTTTGGGCACAAGAATATGCAAGGGAGAAAAGAAAGAATCCAAGAGAAGTAGAAGAGGAAAGAGATTTTGGGATCAGCATGTGAAGTGAGGCCACCATATACGACATAAATAATGTCAAGTGTGATAAATGAGGTTGTCAAAGTAATGAACGGCTTTTTTTTTTTTTACGTTGTCATCTGAATAGCTTTACTTTGTAGCTTCTCTCCTAAACATCTAAAATGTAAATCAATCTAATGCACAATAATACATGATTAATAAAAGAGGAAAAATAAGCAGATACATCACAAGCACACCAACCCATTACCATATTTGGTCTGCTTAAATTCCTTAAGATCCTCGTATGAAAGGTCTTGATAATCTTCAGGATACTGAACCCGAAAGATAACCTATAAAAATCCATGATAAATGGAAGATAAGAATACTACTGGTATTCAGTCATGTCTTGAAATAAGAAGTGTTATGAATGAGTGACAAGCATTCAATCATATATTTTTCATAACGAAACAAGAATGTTAATGTTGCGAACAATTATGTAAATAAGTAACAAATCATATAATATTTTATTGTATACATATAATTACAAGCTGATATTAAGGTAACACAGACGGGAGCTGGAAACCATCCACTGCTGAGGGTATTTGACAGTTTCAGAGGAAATTTTTAGTTCCAACTTCTCACCAGTGATACAAGTGACTCATATGCAGGACGGAAAACCTGCAGCCTTCTATTTCTCTCAGCTTCAATGCAAGCTTCATTACCATATGAAATATAGGACTCCCTGTCAGATTATATAATAATCATATTTCTGGTTAAAGCAGTGTCAAGTAAACAGGTTTTATTTGAATAAACTTCTCCATAAACATTTCTAGGGAAAAAAAAGAAAAGAAAAATAAAGTTACTTCATAAACCAAATTTAATCATCTCCCGAAAATGCTTATAGAGAAATTTACCTAAACAAACCCGAAAGGACAAAAAATCACCTTTTGGTCAAGTTTAACTGAAGACTATGCCAAAAGTTAAAAGTCATAGAAGCAATATCATATTCAGAATGTGAAGCAACTTCCAACAATGCATGCACTATTAGCATTGATTCATCTGAACCTGGAAAATTCAGTTAAGACAATCCATACGCAATAAGTTCAACACAACCAAAAAGCATAACAAACTTGCTAAGACATCAAAATTATTTACATGGTGCACGAGAAAGCACCAATTCTTCTTTTAAAGAGAAACCAACGAAGTTTATGACTATGTACAAGTACCAGTTGCAATCAGTTCCACGTATGAATCACCCATGTCTGCAAATAACCTAGCAATCGCCTTCACATCTTCCTCATCCTAAAAAATAAGACTTGTAAGAAGTGTAGTATGCAACTGTCCCTAAAATATCACATTATCAGATACAATCGATGAAACACTGTCATCAGAAAAAAAAAAACAATCATTTTTTAGGCCCATGGTCAATCAAATAGTATACAGTCTAGAACTGAAATCCTTAAAAAGAATTTTGGAACAATATTTTATTGGTTTACTTGAAAAAGATTAATCTGAATAAGAGAAGATTTTTATTCAATTCATTAATTTGAAACACTACATCAGCCTCTATATAGAGAAGTCTAATCCTAAAGTAAAGATTAGAAAGAGATATCTAGAAACTTCTAACCGCTTCTAACAACACACTTAATATCCTACTGTAGGTTATTAACTAAATACTTATCATTCCTAGCTTGCATGAGATTATGAAATCGTTGAATAGAAAGACCTTTTGTTAATAGACCTACTAAGCTGAAGCCCGGATGGGACACAAGAGGCAGTGATAAGGCCACTATCCAGTGTCAATTTTTTTTATTGTTTAGTCCTATCATGCTGAACTAAATTGTGAGCAATGTTATTAGCTTATTTATAATCACAATAAAGAGTTATAGATTCTTAAAAATTCTCAAGATCATTCTGAATAATTCTCAGCCATAAAAATTCACACCCCATGTGCCACCACAAAAAAATACACCTCTGCACCAGACCTTGCATCAACATTTTGTTTTTTACTTCTCCAAGTCTCCAAAATTCCATCCAAGAACGTGCAATATCCTGAGGTGGATTTCCTACATGTGACGGACCTTGCATATTTTGCATCAGTGTACATATCCATTTTTTAATTTTCATTCTTCTTGAATAATAATCCCCTTCTTAGACTTGTCTTCGAATATACAAGGATTTTGTTACTACAATTTATTAACTATAGTTTCTTCTGAATCAACAGGTTTAATATTGAAATGATGCTTTTTAAACTCTTACAACCTATAATATATATATATGTGTGTGTGTGTGTATGTTAACTTACACTCTATTTTTAGGAGTACGCTAGCAAGTTATAACTACAATTTTCTTTAAATACAACCAAGGTGCAACTTGCTATCTTCTTTTGAAAAAACAAATGAAAATTGTAGCAAATGCATATAGGGTTAGCTAACTTACACATACTTTTTTTTTTTTAAAAGTTAGCAAACTACAACTGCAAATTCTTTAAATACACTCAAGGTGTAACTTCCAAAGTTGTTCCTAAAAATCAAATGGGTGTAACTTATATATGTATGTACGTATGTGTATACACACACACACACAAGGCTGGCATGATTCCCTAGGTATTTGGTAATCACAGCATGCCTCTAAAACAATAGCTCATACTCCCAATCAACTAAATCAGCACCACAACACCGTTGCAAACAAAAAACTAGCAGCTTAAATTTCACATTACTTTTGACTATAGTCAAGTAAATGCCAGAGAGAACAGAATCCATAATACCACAAAGAAAAAATGTCCAAGTGTGCTTTGGAATAGGTCAATCTCTCATGCCCCAACACATGGAGATGGTATATTAATAAAGTATAAAGTATTTACCTTTGTCGAATCACTAAGCTGGGCTTTAAGATTCATAACTTGAGGTACAATGACTTGAATTAAGGGCATATTTGCAGAAACACCATCAATATTGCCTGCTGCCGTGTAATGTATTAACTCGGAAATCACTGCAAAATAGCATTCCCACAAGAGAAAGAATATTATGTTGCGAAATTAAAAATACAAGGAAAGCAACACCATGACTAAATCCCAGGTGACAATATAAAAGGAACAACAACAGAAATAATCAAATGGAGGTAATATTATTTAAACTTAAGTGAGCAAATAAATAGCTATAAATTTCTATTATCTTGTAAGCACTTTGTTATAATTGATGGATTATGGAACAGTGAAAATATTGATATAATGATAATATTACATAAACACTAACCTACACTACGTGTAATGCTATTCTAGGATAAGTACTAGTGTAATACAATCATAGCACAATGAAATGTGTTTGACACATTGTAAAGAGAACAAATGATAATAAAAGTAAATACTATAGAGCATTAGCAGATGTTTAGTACACATAACTAATAGTAAAGTAAAATATAGTCAAAGCTTCTCATCCCACCATAATCATATAAAACTAGTCTCCCAATACCTTATATAGGATTACAATATGCATTCCAATTCCCATATTTCCCACTATACGCATCCCCAGCTATCACATTCAGCACTTCCCAACCAACAGCATTTCCTTGCACATGAATCATGATCATGAACCAGTTGCAGCAGATGAATGTGTTTTCTCCTTTTATACATCTTAGGAGAAATACTCAAAGGAAGTGGAAATATGACACCACCAAATGCCAGTATATTTCACCAAGACAAAAAGGAAGGCAAATGTAGAATCCTTGATGGAAAGCTCATCATGAAGATTTAAAACTCTCTACCATTTGACTCTTCCACTTTTCTGGTCATAATGTAATCAATTTGGTCATTAAAGATTTTAGAACTGGAATCAAACCAGGGTCAAGGAAGAACCAGTTCATTTTAAAATTTTATCAAGCTGCACAGAAGAGTTTCCAACAAAAAAATCGAGCTCAAAGGGAATGTAAGTGCATGCCAGTGGTTTTTTCCACTACTGAACTTCCTCCATTGCTAAAATTTACTTTCGTAAGAACTTTTACCTCTTCCATGGAAGAAGACAAGTATTTTTACTTGAAAGGATTAATATGAAAGAAAGAAGACTTTTATTCAATTGATTAATTTTAAACAGTAATCAGCCTCTACACATAGAGAACTCTAACCCTATAGTAATAATTACAGAGAGATCTGTAGAATATTCTAACAACTTCTAACAGTACACTTAATATCCTACTAACAAGAACTTTTATTTTAAATTCCAGAATATTATATGCAAAGCAACATTTTTGCTGGTAGATATTATGTATTTAACCATTTCATTTAGGATAGTATATGAGTGTCTCGGCTTTTAAAGTTAGATTGACAATGAGGCCATGTCATGCCTCCTTATAAGAACAATACTCCTAAAAGTTAAGGCTATAATATACTAACAATAATTAATATTAATGTATAATAGCATTAAACTATGTACCCATTCTAGCTAGTTCATATACATTAAATTTTCCAGCTTGTCTTTTGGAAAATAAAAAGGGTGGTCAGGGTTGCAGTAGATCAGTACTGCACTTGCAAAATCATCTAAAACCCATAATAAAATTTTATATTTATTGATCCTACAATCGTATTCTTAGCATATCTACATCTATCATAATGTGTGCCAAGAGGGATCAGACATGAAACGTGTGTATATCAATAGTTGTATAATATCACTTTGACATTCACTAATTTCTTTTTTCTCAAGGGTTGGTAAAAACGCAGTATAAAGTATTACATGCATGATTGGGACATATAACAACAAACAAACAAAATGTAAGATGAATGTCTCCCAATTAACTTGTTATACCATTTACAGATGCTTCTGAAAGTAACTCGGAATTCAAGCTTGATAATGCTGTGAGAACTAGCGGATGAGAGCTCAGAACTGATCCCGGAATCCTGGAGGACAAAAAATTCATCAGCCAATTGAATCAAATACTTTTTCCTCACTTGAGAATATATAACTAAGATAGTTCACCAATGTTTCACCAGGTTGTAATAAACAGCGACAAAATACCCAAGCCTCTTCATTTAATTTATGAATGCAAAACTAAAACGCATTACCCTGCCCTTTTAGATACGCTACGCACACATTCTATCATTTTCACTTAATATAAAAGTCTATATATGTAGAACTCGGATAAAATAGCAAATCCTTCTGCAATTCCTTCGTGGAAAGCCAACAAATTAAAACACATGCATACATAGAGATAAAGAAATACCAGTAAATCTTAAACTGGGGACAACAGCTTTCATGTTAATACGATAAAATCTTACTCTCAATCATTGTGTTTAAACGAGTCTTCCATTAAACAATTACAACTAATAAAACATTTGATAACAAAAATTAGAAGCAAGCCTAAGCAGAGAAACTTAATACCCATGCTTTAAGCGAAGCCACGAAGCAAAGGCCTCTAGAACCTGGAAATTGTAACATAAAAATATCACCATAAGAACCTTAGCTCAAAATACCTCACAAGTACTACATCTTGAACAGTAAGTGATGATGAAAATGTATTGCTCACCTGCTCCTTAAGTTCAGAAATAGTCAAACAAGCTGTCAATATATTAAGAGCAACTTCCATTTGAGATGTAAGCTCTTTTTCAAATTGGCGTCGCCTTTCTGGGCGTGCTGCTATCTTATAATTTAATACTTCCTGCATATAACGATAAAATATGTGAAAGGGCATAATATGCAACCCAAACATTCAAATTGTTAACAAAACTTACTATAATTAAAATATTTTGTAAAAAACATATATAGAAGAATGCATGACCAGTATGAAATTATGATAAATACTAAATAAACAACAATATCCAAATCCGACAAAGCAGCAACTTCACAAATTATAACAACTTAACATTTAGTCATTCAAAGTTCAGACATATGTCAAATTAATAAGATGAAAAGACAACACATGTTCCTTCTTCACCACTGATGTCAGCTAGTATACCTCTGGTAGAACTGTAAGTAACTCCAAGAATCCCGGTATATATTCTGGATGGGAATCCATCTCATCCCTAAGCCATTTGACTATACCACCATCCCCCCAGTCTTCTGCAGGGACGTGCACTGCCAAGGCAGCCACTGCAATGCTAATCTACAGGTGCAGCTCATTTTGAACCAAACGGGAACATTAAATTTCCATATAAAAAGAACACTGACAAAAAACAAACAACAAATAAGACAGAAAGGTTTAAGGGACGTTTATATCGCACCTGTGTTCTGACTTTTGGAGGACCCTTGTGGAACTTTTTCAGCAATGTCTGTATTAAAAAAACTATCAAAATTAAATCATATAAAGTACTGTTTCTACTTGAACGTCTGTGTGGTCATGGATGGGAGTCCATAAACCAATCAATTTTACCCAGGACATGTGACAAAACAAAAGGATATATGCAATCCTTTGAACTGAGAATAAATCACGCATTCAAAATCTTAAATAAACACCATAGGAAAAGCACCAAAACTACACAGACCCTCACTCACATTCAATGAGTCACGCAGTGGCCGAAAAGCTGTGGAAGGGAGTTCCTCAAAGTCCCTTTGTACCTAAACCATACCAAAAACAAGTACTCAAAACACAAGAAGAAGAAGAAAACCTCAGGGCAAGTATTTTGCATTCAGAAACCAACATCCAACATTCTTATGAACTTCACATCAACAGGAAGTAGAAGAACAATGAAATCACCTTGCTTCTCAAGGTCTGAGAACAAAATATTAAGGTTTCTAGATTGCTACTGGGATCATGAAGTAAATTATCAGCCACCTGCAGAGATCAAAGTAAGAAACATTTGTGCGGTAAGTTTGAAATGTTGTCCCTGCTTCTAATCATAGAGCTCACAATTCAAACAAATAAAGCAAAAAGTCTATTTGTCCTCAAAGAGACACGGAAATAGAAACATTCAATGGACACAACTAAACTCTCAGAGAAGTTCATAGTTAAAGAACCAACTACAATCATCAAATCAAATACCGGAAACGAAAAGCAACAACAGGACAATTATCTAGTCATTCAGAGAAATCAAATCGGGGCACAAGACCGAGAGAAAGACAAATCCAGGACCAAAGTAAATGAATTGAGGAAACAAATAACGGATTAAAGAGAGAACCTGCCAGGCATCCAAAGTTCTTTGGAAATCTTGGAGATAGCGATCGGCTTGCATGCGCACCGCATCATCAGGGTGATGGTACAGTGCATTTAGGGCTTCCTTCACAGTGTTCTGAAGGTCCATACTGAAATCGAAACCAAACAATAATCAAATCGAATAGGTGGCGCCGATGGAGAAAGAGGAACCAGAGTGCAATCTTTCTCAATATCTCTCTTCTGATTTATGAGAAATTTTTCAATTTGGAGCTCTGCTCTGGCACTACGTTTGAAAGGAGAGAGTAAGGTTTGTTGATAAAGCGACGAAAGGGGTTTTTGGCGCCCGGTGAGAAAGGGTTGGAGTCTTGCTTGCTTTGAGGGGTTTGATCAATCGTTGATCAGCGATCCTGGACGAAATTACTCTCTCAGCCGTTTGATTCATTGACGCTTAGGTCAACTTACATGTCCTGCACTTTTGGCCAAAGGTTAAAATGTCTGTGATCTGGACACGTGGCTGTAATTATTTAAATTGGAGACATGGCCCAATGTAAACTGTGTGAATCCTTCTTCAACCGCGGTTGTTGTTTGTGTTTTTTTTCACCTATGGTTTTTTCACTTCTTTCGCATTTTCTTTGAACTTAACTTTGATGGCAACAACTTAATCAGTGTTATTTTGTATCAGTTTAAATATATTTTGCCTTTTTCTATTTATGTTTAAAATTTTGATACTTTGGGTTACAAATTTTAAATTAAATAAATATAGTTATTCTTAGTGCAAGTTCATCTTATTTTTAAAAGACACATAATAGATGAAGATGAAGGAAGAAAGGAATTAAAATAATCAGACGTGATAGAAACAATAATCATTTTAATACAATTAGTTAAAAAAAATTGAGGAGCCAAATGTGTTAGTGATAATATTTAAATTATTTATATTGTTTCACACATTATTACTTAAATATATCATGTACACTGATTGTTAAACATGTTTTATGCAAGCAAGAATGATGTTTTTTCATTTTTAGAGTTTTGAGATCAAAATGTATCAAAGTTTTAAATAAAAATAATCTCTATTTTAATTTCACGTCAAAATAAATTTCTAAAAACATATTTAACACTTTGTATTTTAGTTTGACAGTTCAATAAAGTTTAAAAATGTTTTTGAATCCAAAAATTATGTTAAGATTACATTTTATAATATTCTATCACACATAATAATCTCACATCACTTAGAATTCAAAGTTAAACACAGATTAAATATTTATTTTTTCTTCCACCCTCTAAGGTGCCTTTGAGAATAAAATCGTGATGGAATTTCACGTTCTAAACTAGACAATACCTCATATGTATCGTGATATGTCATAAGATGTATTTTGAAGACAAAATAGTAACCACACTCTAAAGTAGATAATACCTCATATATATGGTGATTGACCCTAAATTCCTTTAAAGACAAAAGCGTAACAGAGTTCCATATTCCAAAATCATTTTTGGGAAAGTTGGGCTTAACTTCAGATGGTGAAGTCGTTGTTGTCCTAATCGTTGAACTCAATCCATTTATGCGTTTTTCATGAATAATAATGACAATTACTTTCATCACTATTCAAAGTTGAGACTCAAGCTTATCGATTGGCCAAATAGGATCATTTTCCTATTGTGGAAATTTTGATTCTTTGACATCCATATCCACATCGTCATCAAGCAAGCCAATCACCATGCACAACCGTATTATGTATCCTTTTGAGTTTACGACAATGACACACCTTGACGATTGACAAAGCCATGGGCGTCTAGTGATGTGCGCAACTTCTCTTGTCATTGCGGTCATTCTTTTAATCTCTGCAACATGATGTGTGAAGCCTCTCTTGCATTACCATCATTCTCTTAATCTATACAAACAGTATGTTGGCGCTGATGTTTCTGATAATGTCGTTGGCATTGAAGGATGGTGTTTGAGACCATTAAAATGCTTCTCATGTTGGTGAGCTTCGTGCTTGTGAGTCTCGTTTGTTTTTGCGAATAAGCACCTAGCATGGTCAACAACAATAGAGAAAAAGGCAACAAAGTTCATACTTGGAAGTAGGATATAGTTTTACTTGAGCCACACGATGGACGCCAAATGATTTTACCATAATTTTTAGTGTGGATCTGCGGATATGTTGCAAGATCCTAACGATGGCTTGAATTCTCTAAATTGTCAGAATTGAATCGCTTATTGTTAAGAAGGTGATCCACTTGCAAAAGACTCTCAAGTCACCAAGAAAGTTTAGACCTTTAGATATCATGCATATAAGTGATTATTAAGTGTTAATTTATTTGAGAATCTTAGTTATATTTACAGGATTAACATAAATCATGAACTTATGTTAACATTAAAATAATATTTATTTTCAATATATCATAACATAACATAGTTATTCATAATAACATAATGACTTCATAATAAAAAAAACACTTATGATACCAAAGTGTTAAAATTACATTAATATTATTTAAATAAATGTAAATTTAGAGTATTTCATAATAAAGTAAATTTAATAAACCTCATTGAATTGTGTTTTTCTTGTTGTATTTATCGGGCCATCAATAAATAAATAATTTCATTTTATAAATTATGTTATGTGATAAGACAAGTGATGGGAATTAAAGAGCTCCGAAAACACTAAAACATGTAAAGAGTTATAAAAAGCAGCGAAATAATGCAGCGTTGTGTCGCATTTTGAATTATAATTAGAACTGAGTTAAATTTTGCTAATACTATGGATTAAATTGGGGGATAACTTATTTCAGAAGATAAATAAAACAAAATATTTGATTAACAGAAGATAATAAGATAAGAATCGAATACGTGATACTTTATGGAGATTGATCAAATCATTAGAATGATTGAGAGATAATATTCATAATATTAATATTTAAGAATAAACTATACATAGCAAATATATATACAATGAATGTTGTATATTACTAGAAAAAATATACTTATAGATATGATGAAGTTAGAAAAATATAGTTTACCTTTTAAAAAATAATACGTTCTGAAAAATATTGTTTTATATTAAAAATATTATCCTTTTTTGACAAATTTCTCAAGATATATTATAAAAATTAATTTGTGACTATATTAAATAATTTAATGAGAATTACATAATATTGTTAATAAATATTTTACTTACTATAGTCAGCATTTAATTTTTGAATAAAACTAAATAGTCTATTTTAATTTAATAGGAACATTTGAATTTTCAATATAGAAATAAAACATTAATTATACTTTTTTTATTTAACTTCTAAAATAAAAAATGTGATACCGATTTAAGTAAAAACAGTTATAACTTTACCTAATTTTTAAAATTAAATAATTATATTTGTGTTTTAACTTTTTTTTCTTTTAGTCACGTGAAACTAATATTATTTGTAGTATTATCACTTTTTAACTCATAATAGGAATGAATATAATATTTTCTCTAAATAGATTGTAGTATAGAAATAAAGACATAAAAAAACTAGAATATATAATATACATAAAGTGTCATGGTGTTGTTAGGTGTTACATAATCTCACATATTTATAAATAATATTAATGTCAAAATAGGTTGAAACTTTGGAATTAACCTGACATACTAAGTGAGTTTCGACTAAGTTGGATTAAAAAAAATTAAAATTTTGATTTGAGCTTAATTTATTACGAATCTAATTCATTCAGATTGAATCATTGATTCATTAATCATTTAATTTTGTCTTTTATGCTGATTTTTGAATTATATTTAGAGTTTATGATAATTTTGAATTTTATTGTATTTTTTTAATTACTTTTATAGTTTAACATCATTTTTGGTTAAATTTTTTTTAGATTTAAATTAAAAAAATTATTATTTTTTAATTAAAAAAAACTTATAATTAAGTAAGTCAATAAATTTATTTAATTCATTAATGTATGAGATACTAAGTCAAGATTTTTTTTTTATTTACTAATAAAATAATCGAATTAAATTAATTAACTAATAATCAATTCGTGGTAAGTGGGATCTGAATGACCCATTTTAATAATGCTCATAAATGTATACCATGATTATTATGTTAAATTTTTTAACAAAATTTTTAACTAATAATCTTCATACGTCTCTATTTATGTTATATTACCTACGTCTACTTCATTAACATTTTTATTTGGTTTTGTGACAAAAATAAGTTTAAAAAAAATATTTCGTGGAAACTTTAATTTTATCTTTCCCTTCTCAAAACTATGACTCATTATATTGTTTCTATATATTTAATTAGTATTGTATTATTTTAAAATTAAGATTAATAATAATTTATAAATATATAATGAAATCCCTTCTAAAAGACAATATCACAGAATTCCTATGTAAAAAAAATAATACTTAAAGTCTGTTCTTTAGCTGTGTTCACATGAACATATTTTATTGTTCAAGAGTGTTTGAGAGCGACGAAGTAGAAAGGTTTGTGTGTTCATTTGAGAAGAAAAACAAGGAATGATGAAGACAGATCTGTTGGATGGAGAGCTTTTCAATCACCCGCGGAAGTGGAGAGATCCTGAGGTATTTTTAATAAAAAGTCAGATGTGCCGTGAAGTGTATTATATAATTTCATCTCTATATATGACTTAATATACATAATTGACTCATTTTTACACATAACCGATTCCAACTTGTTTGGCTAATTTTGTTGTTTTTGAGTTGCAGGATTGTAGACGAGGACAAAGAAGGAACTTCTGTATGGTAGATGAGGTTGATGGCATGAAAAACAAAGTGGTTGAAGATAAATGGGCGTCTTTGAAGTCGAAGAAAATGAAGAACATTGTTTGAAATGAAATTGACCAAGGATATTCGGTTCCAATCCAACAGTATTCGGTTCCAAAATGAGTGCGTGGACGAACGTCAGTGACGTAGGCTGAGTACAAGACGTTTCAGGACGAACGTAGTTGGCGTACGTTCCAGGACGAACGTAATTGGGGACGTTCTAGGACGAACGTAATTGGCGTACGGTTGGCTAAGCTTGGGGACGCTCCAGGACGAACGTTATTGGCGTACGCTAGGCGGGCTGGTTAAACTATATGGCGAACGCTTTTGAAACCGAACGTCTGATTCCTTGAACGTTCGAGTGGTACATGTGGTCGAATGATTGAGCGTCCTCGTAGCTGTGAGGCCGAACGTACACGAGGCCATGGCGGGACGTTTCAGGAAGCACGTCCTTGCCGAACGCGAGACAAGTGGCACGCTCGTACAGATTTTGAATGGACGGCTGGCGTTTAAAGTTTGGGGAATAGGAATTGGGTTGGATGACGTGGAGGCAGAACCGTATGACACGTGGTGGCGCGAATGTTGCGGAAGACGTGGATAATGGGTCTGACAATGCGGCGTTTTTGGAGGCACCGAAAGGGCTTGTCTCTGAACTGGG